CACCTTGTAGCACTCATGCACAGCAACAGTGAAAGTTTCTACAGCTGGTAGCACACACTTCTGCCAGAGTTATCCAGCTGGTCTGAAAACATTTTCATTTGTTTTAGTCTGTTATCAAATTGAGACAAAATTTTCACGCTGGGCATTTGTTTTAGGAGAATAGGGAGATTTGCATGTTAAAGTAAAACCCAAAAACACGGCACTATTGAATGGGTTCATAGAAGACGTGTAATGTTCCACAAATCCACGAGACAGAGATCTAAAACCTGTGAGCAGTAGCCTTCAAGGCAGAAACTTGATTGATGGTTTCACTGTCTATGTGACCGATTTTGTCTCAAAAAAAAAGTACCCTCTCCAAGGCAGAAAAGGAGAACTAATACCACCTGCCCGGGAACGTGGTGGATGCCCTGTCCCTGGATGCAGTCAAAGCTAGGCTGCATGTGGCTCTGGGCAGCCTGGTCTAGTGCTTGGTGACCCTGCACATAGCAGGGGGATTGAAACTAGATGATCACTGTGGTCCTTTTCAACCCAGGCCATTCTATGATTCATTCCATGATTCTACAAAAATCCCAGCCTCCCAGAAAGTCCTGTGAGAACTGATTTTCACCTGGTCTGCTGTAGCCAAATGTACAGGCTTCATTCCAGCAGGAAATACTCAGCTTCTGCTCATCAGTTAGTGCTGTTACACTAAAAAAAAACCCCAAAACAACAAACAAGCAGACACAGATTATAAAATCACACATTATGTAGCTTATGATTGCGCGCTTTCCTCTCACTTAATGAGCACCACAGAACAGTGCATGACCTCAGAAAGAACTAATGCTGTGTTGAGTTTAAAAAAACACCCTTGTTTTTAATAAGAATTCCAGCTGAAGCTACTACTTATGTTTTGATACAAGCATTTCTGTATACAATTCTGAAAAACATCTGGCACCATGGAGTTGCGCTTTCAAGTTTGTCGCAGTTCCCATTAGCTGTAATGATGCCTACTGCTAGGGCCAGACCTGATTAACCATAGTCTCACAAACTGCTCAATACAGGCACACGTAGATCCTAGTGCAGCAAACACCACGGATTCTTTTGGCCCTTTGTTTTAACACGATTGCCAGGATGACTAGAGTCTGAAAACTCACAGCTCATTCCCAAGAATACAATGCTGATCCAGACAGAGCCAGAAGATTTTAAAGTGACTTCAGGGAAGAGATCTAACAGGCTGTGGTAGAACGTGCAGAACATTTTCCCTCTTTTTACCCCTTTCACCGGTATGGAACATTTGCTGTGTATTTACTGAATGTAAAACTAAGCAAGAAATTTCCACACAGTTTCGCATCTTGGAGAGTAGCAGCACGTTTTAAGCTACACACGGTGCAATCACTACTCACACTCATCTAAGATGATTTTACTGCAGCTGAGAGCCTGCATTTCCAGCAGAAGAAAGAGTTCAGAATCCCAGAGCCCTTGAACATGGCCAGCACGGCAAGTATCCTCACAGCAGTTTTAAATTAAGAGATCCTCTTTAAACAATGAGAAGATTAAAACCAGCCACAGTATCGCCTATTCTGAGTTTTTCAGACACAGACTAATTTTTCCTCTTCTACCAACTGCCTTTATCCCTATGAACACAAGTCAAATAACATTCCTAACTGTTTATCAACGGTATGAACAAATGGCCTTGTTTTGAAGCGTTCATTGACCTCAAAAACCCTCAGAGTCCAGATATGTGTGATATTTTTGGATGAGAGAAGCAATGAAATACCCAGTTCTGCTGCTGAACATAGTATCAGTTTATTTGCTCTAACCATGGATCTGGGCTTGCTTAGCTACAGATATGACACATTTACATTCCAATTTACGGTAATCAGATGCTGTATAATTAAAATATACACGACTGACTCTATGCAACCAGCTTGAAACCTCTGATCTTAAGTTAACATTCAGTTTTACATGATTCCCATTTCCTGAAAAGTTTTGCATGTGGAAAAAATGATTTCCACAGTTGGGGTGTTTTTGTTTCTGTTTTTTTTTTTTTTTTTTTTTTTTTTTCCCCCTTTTTCTTTTTCTTTTTCTTGCATTAAGACTACAGTTTGTATTTCAAAATGCCTTTAATGGACCCAACTAACATTTCCTGGCCATGATTTTCCAGGTACAATTTGTGCCTTTTAGGTAGTCAGCAAATTCACTTTCAGGACTATTTAAATGCCATGAAATGAGACTGCTTTGATGAGATGAAATGAGCAAGTGAGGATACAAAATCAACGTCTGTTTTTGTCTTTTCAATCTGGTCCTTGATTTTCATCATCACAGCTTTTTATCTGTAGTACAAAATTGATCTGCTGAAGAGTGCTGTGTGACAATTATTTGTAAAACACTGGAAGATTCCTGAGGGGGACAGAGGGCTGAACAAAAACAGTACACTGCTAGTAAAATTTGTTGCATTCAAACTAAAATGTCCAGGAAATATGAACAACTTGAATGCAAGTCCACAGCATTTTTTGAATCATTTCCCTGAAAACTTCAATCCTCTAAAATGAACCAGAAACAAAAGAAATCAAGAACAGACAAACTCTTGAATAGCAGAACTTTTTTAATTCTGTTTTTCCCCATAGAGACCTTAAAAGAGATAATTATTTTGTAGGCAGTTATTAAAAATAATGCCAGACACTGAAGTTAGATGTATTAGGGACTGGGTAACAACAATTGTATGCAGACTTACTTTGCTGGTCACAGAAGTTTATTTTAGCCTTTGGTTTTTCTGTAAATTAAGATACTGATGTTATGCTGCCTATCAGGGAAGGCAGTAGGTTGTATAGTTATCTCCTGATTGGGGCAAAATCACTACCCTGAAACCACACAACCTACTACCTCATCCTGTTAGAGCACCAGGCGGATCTTCTGAAGCAAACTAGCATTTCACCTACCGTAAGTAAGATCCCCTAAAACACTTTCTAGCCCACATTTCTTAGCTTCAAAAAGAGCATAATTATGTCCTGTCTGCCCTTCCTCAGATTTCTTCCTGGAAGTCCATCAGACTTGGTGGGGTGACTCTATAGAGAATATAGAAGAACTGCAGTGGAAAGCACTCTCCTTCCCAAATTTGCACAATGTAATAAAACATGGGTAAAATCACAATTCAAAAATTGATTTAAAAAAATCTCTTCCTTTAGGGGTCAAGCATTTACTGGTTCAAGAGCAGAAAATGAGACATCTTCTTTGTATTATTATCCAAGTCATCACTTGTTCTCAAATTATCCTAGGTGCATTTACATAACTGCTGAAAAAGTGGCACTTAAAAAAGGTGGAATATAAATACAAATGCCACAAAGTAATGAAGAAATGGATCACCTTTTTCCAAATGGCCACTCTTGTGAGCACACTGGTAGATGGAGAAAATTGAGCATAAACAAACCTTGTAGACTAAGATACATCTGTGCCCTCTGACACCCCACTTTCTCTGAGAAGATGAAAAAAAGGAAACTGCTTTCCAATCCAAACGATAGAGGAATTCAAGCACTTTAAGGACATTTCTTTCATAAGAATCAAAACCAACGTATAGACAGAGCCAGAGAATGTTACAGTTGAAATACATTTGCTTTGCATTTTGAAGACATATCCAGCGATGATATCACAGCCACTTCGGGAAAGACAGTAGATTGTATAGTTATCTGACAGGCAGGGCATAACCCTAAAACTATACAACCTACTACCTCACCCCAAAGGACAGTCAGACTCCGATCAGACAAACCACAAACTATATTTCCAGAAAGCTGGATGACTTGCTGATGACCTAGAAGACAAAAGACTCCGGAGACAAACATTATCAGTCTTCATTCTGAAAGAGTTTGCTATACACCAGTTGACATTTTGCTTAATGAGCTCTAGTTTCATGTTTTAAAAGCTTAATAGATTTGCAATATGTGAAGTCATGTCAGTGACAAGATACACAAGAGGGAAGAGGATACGGAATTCATTTTTAATAAATGCACTTTTGTACTTCCAGTTCTGACATGACTGCATCTTAACAAACCAGTTTTGTTTGTTAAAGAAAGGCATCACAGTGACTTAGAGAATAGATGCTGAATTAGAGGGATTTGTTCTGCATTGCCCCCTAGGTATTCCTCTGTTATCCTAGTGGGGAAAAACTCAGTTTCTCTTACTGACTTTCCCAAGTTCTGCATGGGTAAATCTTTAAGATTGAACCAAGAATTTGCTGACTGACAGAAAGTATTATGGCTTACTTAAGCAACATGCTAATTCTAAAGGACAGTACCTCACCACTGAATCAATGGCCAAATTAAATGTACCCTACTGTAATACACAGACATTGGTTAATATGACTAACAAAATTGCCACTACTGTATCATAATCTCACACCAACACTAGAGTTTGAGGGTGCTGTCACTCCCCACCATCTGGTTTGATGCACATTGCACTCAGGCAAAATCCAAACAAGTGACAAAACTATGATACCAGTCCATATTTGTAATGTAAATAAATAAAGTTTTCAAGCAAGTACTCCAACTTAAAAAGCTAATTTAGAATCACAGAATCATAGAATGACCTGAGTTGAAAAGGACCTCAAAGACCATCTAGTTTCAACCCCCTGCTGTGTGCAGGGTCACCAACCACCAGACCAGGCTGCCCAGAGCCACATCCAGCCTGGCCTTGAATGCCTTCATGGTTGAGGCATCCACAGCCTCCTTGGGCAACCTGTTCCAGTGCTTCACCACCCTCTGTGTGAAAAACTTCCTCCTAATATTTAACCTAAACCTCCCCTGTCTCAGTTTAAAACCATTCCCCCTTGTTCTATCACTGTCCACCCTCGTAAACAGCCATTCCCCCTCCTGATTATACGTTCCCTTCAAGTCTTGGAAGGCCACAACGAGGACTTCCTGGAGCCTTCTCCAAGCAAAACCTGTTTTTGTTAATTGCAAATTAAAGACAAGAATACATGATACACATGCAAAAACTAGAGCCATCCTTTACAACAAAGCAGATCTCACCCCAAAGTAGGTAGGTCATGTTTCAGGGCAACTGATGGGATCTTCCACTGCTCTTAGCACAATCAAAATCGGGATGCAGAAAGAGAAAACACGCATGTTTCAACTTCATTTCAGTGCACACTGAAACAATTATAAGGTGAGTGACAGCCAGTGAAAAAGCAGACAGCAGCTTCTCTGTACATTTTCTCAGAGGCCCATTCACAGCACCAGCTTTCTCTTTCCGTTGCTATTATTCCATCAGATTGGTCCCCAGGGGGCACCCCTAATCTGAAAAAGACAGACAAGAGACAAGGAATAGTGAAAAACAGAAAAGGTTGTAGGTTTTGGTTTTTTTTTTTCAGATTGACTTATTGAAGTATTTCTTCTTCACTTTCTGGGAAAAACACACTTCTAAAGAAACTAGAGGAGGAAGGCAAACACAAATGCCTAACCAAGTTACATAGCAATGTGCTAATCTATAACAGGCAATGTCAGACTGTGAGCTTCAAAGATCACTTAACTACACTGGACTGCAGCCACCTGTAGGAAGAGGCTACTGATTGCTGCAACCTGTACATGGGACATACTTGTGACACCAAACTGCAATGGTGCAACTGTCCTCTCTCAGGCAACCATACTGGAGAAAACGCTGTACAACCCTGAATTTACAACTGGCAACACCAATGGCACTGAAGATCAAAGTAGATATTCTTCAGATAGTATACAAAAAGAGTAGCAAGAGACATTTCAAAACCTCTTAAACTAGTAACTACTATCAAAGGAAGTCGTTTGGAAAGTTCTGCAGCAGAAAGTTCCATAGCTTTCTCTATATACTTAAGGGTTTAAAAACTGCATTTTCTGAGTGTGAGCTTTTTTGGCAAAGTCCGTTCCTTTCTGAATAATCCTCTGGAAAGCAAACAAACCAAAAACCAAACAAGCAAACAAACACAGAACTATCCTGTCCCTGTTTTTTTTACATAAAATGTTTAAAATTAAACATCTTCTTTATGTGTGTGGTCAGAGATTTCAGTGTTAGGACTTCACAATTTATACAGGAGCTTTGGCTAAAAGTCAGTGTGGAAGCTGGTGAATTTTGGAACCGCCATGTAAGTGAGTACCTGTGGCCTGCACAGTCACAGAAAGGGCTTCCACTTGAAAACAAAACCCATCCTTCCATATAAATCAGCATTATGTAACATAATCGGAGGAAAGCTGAGTACTCTGTGTTTTACTTCAAAATGAGACTTCTGAATAAGCATTTCCTTCAGGGTGAAAGAAGAAAAACAAAGTAACCTTCAGTGTAGCTGCTCTTTATGCTGAATAGTCCAGTGAAAGCAGTTCAAAGGCATTAAAATGATATATTCACAGTAGTGAAAAGCCCAAGCTCCTCAGAAGACTCAAGTCACTGGAAATTTCAGATGGAAATCCTAAACTTGAAGTGACTCCAGTGATTCCAATGGCAGAAGTGAAAACATAGATTCAAACAGTGGCAAAATTTTGGAAAGCCTAAGCATGTTGTAGTGATTTACACTGCTGCCTATCTGTAGCATACCTTGGCTTTACTTTCACTCATAGGTGCATTTCTCATTAGGAGAAAGGAAAATACTCACCTTTTTGAAAAAATGCTGCATTTTTAAGGAACGTTTCAAAAGGATTCACTTATTTCTAGTAAATAGAGCTAAGCTTTTGATAATGTTAAAGATTTTTTTCAATACATGAAGTTCTGATATAATATTGCCTTAATGTATAATCTGCCACATAAAAGGTAATAATTTAGTTTACAAATATGAGTTATTTATAAAGTGCTATAAGCTTTCTGTCATACTATTTTCTATAAGATCTGTTATTATGGGTATGAACAGTTTAATGTATTCATTAGCAAATAAAAATGGAAAAGAGTGCACTTTATTCAACACAAAATTAATCATTCTTCTGCTCTCACAAGCTGCTCATAAACTCACTTCAATTGATTAGGTCACAAAACAAGGATGAACTTTAAAATACTTAACGAAAGAAAAGTGCATGCTCATTTTCTACGAAGAAGACATGCATACAAAATATCTGGCAAGAGTTTGTAGTTGAGCAACTGCTTAATACTAAGAAAAATATGACATTTCCATATTCTCTCAATGTTCAGTGAAAAACGTACTGGAACAGATGTTAACAAATACCTTAGCAGTCACTATTAAAAAGATGCAGAGCCAACTCTGCTACTTCTGTGATGCAACACGAAAGATGACAGTTTTAAAGTTGAATTGTTACATAATTAAAAGCCTTAATAATTAACAAACTCTGGGACAGTACAGAACAAGCACTTTGCAATTTTTGGAGCACCTTCCACACAAAAACTTGGAATGATCTGCAAACGCAAAACCTCCCTGTGCTCCCAGGAAGAAGGTAAATGCCCCAGGTGCATATGTGAGCAAGTGCACAGTGACTGCAGTAGAGAAATGTGTGGCTCGAGGCAAGCCCCAAGGGACCCTGCAAGGCTGAGGGGATGCATGCAGGTCTGATCAGTGGCTTCCAGCTTGTTTCCACATCATGACTATTTTCTGGCTTCCAAAGTGGTGTCCAGTCACCACTGTGCTCCTGTAGGCTGTTTTTTCATTATTATAAATGTCACAATCTTGTGCTAATGAGAGTGGTTGCAAAATAAATGGTGGAGGTTCTACTACTGTGGATGCTGATACCACGGGAAGCTTTCTGACTGAGTCCAACAGCCTCTGAGCAGAAAATGAAGCTGATGCATTGCCCTGTCAAGCCAGACAGCAGTACCACGGCAGGTAACTGTTCTGAAGATTTCAGACAGAAGCTAGTCGGAGGAGAGAAGATCATCTCCTGAGATCTACATGTAACAAAGTTCACATACAATATTTCCAGGTCTACTTTTAAGTAAATATAACAAAAATAACACACTACATTTCCATGTAGATTACATCCTTCAAGAAGTGAAAAGTATTTTACAAACACAGATTTTGCAACTCCTGTGAAACACGATGTATATAGTGACTTAATCCATTACTGAAACACAGCTGCTTCTAAGACTGGCAACAACAGCTCTTTCACAAATTGTAAAACATTACCATAATTTTATAAATTAGGATGGATTCTGCTGCGGCTTCAGAGGGGCACAATAGGAAATATTCACAGCATCAAGTCTACTACACTCAATTGTTTGTCTAAATTTCACATTAGAACAGAATTTAGAAGCAACTGACTGTACTGAGCCCTAATTCTATTAAAATTAGTCACATTATTTTGTCTTTCTAACTTTCATTATTGCACAGAACATTATAGGTGCTGTAACACAGTTCTATTAAATAATTTCACATAGTCACTGAAACCATCCGCTTTATCAAACTGTTCAGAAAAATTTGGCAAAAACTAGCTGTTATACCAGAACTCTGTGGAATATGTGTTTCTGAGCTCTGTAGTAATTTATGGATGTTCCTAAAATCTTGAACATTCTAGATGTGGGGTAAAAATGGCAACAGCACATAAAAACATACATCAGTGCAAGTAATTACATCTGACACACTGCAGCCTTACAACTGCAGACCTGCATAAGGGCTTCCATACTCTCATGTGGACTCATTCTAACTTCACTTAAATTCCTCCACATAAGTAATGCTTATGTAACACTTTTCATAAAAGGTTTACAGTGTCACATAAAAATGGAACATGCTTAATAACTGCTGCTTTAACCTACTGAATGGGTGTACAAGAATCTGGCTAGAATTAAAGACAAGGAGCTGGAGCTGGGTGTACATCAAAGGGGTTCTGCACCTTCACAGACATGTTCCATAAATGTATGTCAAGCATTTCTTAGCCTGACCACTGTGAAATGTCTTGAATGTTAAACAGATACTTCAAAAGGACAGGCAGTAGGAAAAAGATCATTTTCTATCAAAGCAGCACCTTGTTTTTTTTGAATGTCAGATCATACTTTCTGTTTATGCAAACTGTAGCACTTACACTGACATATTTTATTCTTCTATTCCATTTATTTCTGAGTTCTGCTTATGTAATACTCTGAGTGCTAAAAAAAAAGCAAAACTACCCAGAATGATAAAAACATTCAGCATCTCTCAAACCTTCCATAAAAAGAGAAGCTAAACCAGAGCTAACCACTGGCTACTTTGTCTGTTGCACTTGTATTCCTCAGCAAATCAATATTTAAAGAGACACCTGCTTTGTTTTTATTTTAAATAAACTCCATAAGAAAGCAGAACTGTTTAGTGTATTAGGAGCTATTTGTTTGTACAACTTAAATATTTGCCCTTGATGTTTTCCTAGCCTAATTTTTCTGTCTGCTCACTTACCAGCTGATTTGCTGTGCTGGCTCTGGTGGGCTTTCTGCCCAGCCTAAGCCGGCTGCCAGGCATGACAGGGACATCTGTGGGAGCAGCAGCAGCAGGATCTCAGCCTGAGCCGTGCTTCCCAGCTCCTGAGGGCAGAAATGACATTCGGCAGATCCCAGTGGGAAAATGGGGTGAGGCCAGGATCCATGGGAGACAAAGCCTGTGTAGGAAGGGCAGATCCACCATGAGTGAGCGAGATGTGTCTTACAAAAAACAAACGTTACAGGTACTTTTCATACCTCACCAAGCATGAAGGCAAAAAAGCAAGGACTGGCTTATCAGGGAGATGACTCTCTGCAGGAAGAGGAGGTGAAGCTGTGACAAATTAGGGATTGTTATTTGTTAAGAAAAAAGCTAAGATAATGTCAGTGTTATTTTCTCTTGTCAGAGATAGCAAAGAACAAAACCTGCACATAACCCTTTTCTTCTTTCCTAAACATTCATAATTCATCCCCATGCACTATCTCAGATTATATTTCACATAGATGATAGAAAAGTAAAATACCAATAACTCCCTTCCCCCCAGATATTTTTGTTTTAGGATGTTGATTACTGGATCTTTTTTTTTTTTTCTTTCTTTGGAAGAACTGTCTCCTCAGCTTAGGTCACCTGGATTTGCTTAATATCGCTGAACATGAAATCTGACACTTAAACTATGCACCCTATCTTTTCTTTGTAAGTGATGCCTAGCTCTTCAAAATCACACCTTTCCCAATTCCCCATGGAAATAACAAGTCCAACTGCAGGAACAATCAGGATCAGTATCTTCCAACCCATCTCAGTATATATACTTGGCCATAACACAAACAATTATTTTCAGTAATGTTTCCAAGCACTTCTTGATAGAAAAAAAGTGTTCACTACACAGAGAATCTTAAATAAGGTATATGCCTAATTTAACTAGACTTGGCTTTTTTACAGGTGCAATTCATACAATGTCACATCTAGCCTATGTGCTATCACTGATTGCAACCTTTATTAATTGCAGTTCTTCATGTAAACCAGGAAAATAATGTCAACCAAAGACACAAGATATTGTTAAAACTATTAATCTGATGTTCTCTCAGAAACTGACATCCTCACTGCAAATTCCTTTTCAGGAAAGCTGATTTTCAGTGCGAGAAGAATTTAAATGCTTGGAAACTATTTTTTTTTTCTAAAACGTGCAGTAAAACAGTATATGTAAGTTCTGACTTAATTAAGCACCAAGAGAGAATGTCAGATGGAATAATACATTCTAAGTCTCATCAATAAACTAAATTTCACGTTACAGAAATGCAGTTGCACTAATAATTCTGGTTCGTAGACAAAACAGGTTTGTCTTTTGTCTTTTGCACCATAAATAACACTCCCACTTTAAATTTTAGTCCTTAGTGAGATAAGGCAGTTTATGAGTAGTACTGAGGAAATTAGTAGTTTGGAACCCAGGGTTAGACCAGTCATCTAAATAACTCAGGTTTAGACAGGTTTACTCTACAATTTTGTATTTACACCTATGCACACTTTTATTTGTTATTGTCACAATCACGATAAAGTTAAGGAAGTGCTAACAAAGAATAATGTTGTATTATATCAGCTAAGCAAAGTTTGTAAACAGTTCTATCTGTCATGATCATTTCAGACGTGCAATATTTGGAATTGTGGATAGCATTATGTGAAAAACTGGCATAAAACCAGCAAACCATATAGTATGTTTGTTTTAAAACACTGCTAAAAGTCAAAAATTAAATTCCACCTCAGAACAGTGTTCTGAGGTTTGGACTGCATTTGGCTTGAGCTGCTGTGCTCAAGCTTCATCCTGATGGTGAAGCAGAAGTCTGGAAGTCTACGTACATTAAGACAGAGAAAATACTTATGCAGTCCTTACAAACTATAACTGCACTGGGCTGGTTATTTCTGGTTACTTGTACTTTTCCTTCTGGAGGTTACACACCCGAACAAGAAGTTTACTTGCAAAAGCAGAAGTATTTACATTGACTGTGTTAGACTACAATCAATCCACAGTATTTAAAATCCTAAGCAGTCCTAAATTCACAGCCAGTTCAGCCTGTATAAGGAACTACTACTGTTTCACCAGGGACCAAACTAACATTGTGAGGCTGCATCAACATACCACCTCCACCCACAGGAGACTTCTATGGGGCCACAAGTGCTGAAACACACTGGGAGGGGATGCTAAGCACAGAGAGGGATGAGGCTTCACCTTCCCATGGTGTATCAGATGACAGTGAGAGAACTCCACCTGTTAAGGGACATGGAAGCAAAGGCCTCTGCTGAGCCTGCCCACTCACACAGCTGAAGGCTGCATGCATGCCTCAACTTCTGGAGATGTGATAGCTCCTGACACAGCTGTGTCTGGTTCATGTTCTGCCTTTTGTCTCCACCCTTAGCCCTCCTTTTGGAGCCTGAACTGGGCTTTCATGTTTCATGTCTACAAGTCCTGGCAACCTCAAAGACCTTACTGCTAACAATGCTGCTAATTATTAAGATGCCTTTTACTTTCCAATTAGTGTTTTTCTTTAGATACCAGCAGATGACCTCTATGTATAATAGCAGCTTTGTTACTCTTTTGTAGTATGATTCAAAATATACACAGGTGGTTTTGCCACAACTCTTTTGTCTCTGCTCTGATTGGTTATTGTGATTGGTTATTGTTACTGTCAATGGAAAGAAGGCTTATACATATACTCCCTGCACAAGTTAATGAGATTACTGGTCTCATTAGCCATCCAATACAAAGCCCAGTCCAAGACCCAGCTCAGGTTTGCATAGCACAAACCTTAAAAAAGAGAGGAGGGAAATCACCAAAAGTTGCTGATCCTTGCCAGGGCTGTTGCACCCTCACTTGCAGTCTCCACTCCCCTGTGGAGACTGCATGACCAGGCATCCCAGACTGTGCTGGCCGTCAGCATGACGACCTGCAGGGATACTTCAAGCACAGCAAGCTCATGTCAAGTGCAAGGGAGGCAGCTGCTGTAGATACGTGTGCCAAGGGAGTTGAATTAGGAATCTGGAGTGCCCTGGGGTGACTGGGGCAGTGACACCGATATGGCACATATCTGCACAATAAACACTATTCATGAATTGCAGGCAAGGAGCTCGGGTGGCCAGATACACAGCTCTGCCTGCTTTCAGTTCCCTCTGTACAACCTTGGTTTTCTCAGGTGACTGAGACTCTCAATAGATTTACCCCAGTGTAAGTCTTTTTACTTGAGACTAAAGCTTTCACTAGTTAAACACTCATTAATGAACTCGAACCATGGCTTCAGGTGATGGAGAGTAAGCGGATCTTTGCCAACATTCAATGATGTGTTACAGACTTTGTGTCCATTATTCATGATGTTGTTGCTACAGGCTCTAATTTTACATAAACCAAAGTCACAGGAGAAATGTTATGATGAGCAACTGTGAAGAGTACAGGAAAAGAATGCCATATCAGTTGCTATTAAAGACACAGTTCAGTATTGCATTTTCTGACTTTGAAGCCTTTTGGGAGTGGAAACAGAAATTTTCTGTGAAGAGTGCCAAGGTAAAACAGAAAATTTTGAAGATGGTCTTCAAAGTTAATTTATGTCTTCTGGATAACTCAGTTCAAATTCCCCAAATATAAAAAATACACAATCTTTTATCTATAAATAAATGTACTTTACAGTTCCTTTTAGATCCTTTTTAAGAACGACTAAAATTGTATCCTAGCTATCGTGTGAGCTATTGCTCTGCATCTTCTCTGGTATGCCAGAATTTAAGACCTATTGGGAAAGCAATATATCATACCACCTATGAAGTTATAAATATGCACACCAACAGCATCAACTCACCAACAGAGCAAGCAGAGCTGAAGCCACTGTCCACAAAAACAAACTTCCTCTCCCTTTATGAACATAAAAACCAGGCATATGAAAATACTGACTTTGTTATTTCCCAGCATTTTTAGTATACACACAAGACAGTAATTCAACTCTGCCTGCAGGATGAATGACTTCAAAATAAGCTTCAGGCTCAGAATCCACGACATGTAAATTAAGATATACTTCATATGATATATCTTAGTCGTGAAAATGGGTCACGCATTTAAGGCATTTCTAGACTATATTTACTGATGTAACTATTTTAAATATATTCTCATGTTTATAGAATAATAATTTAATTATTTACCACATTTCATTTTCTATGAACTGTAAAAGAACTGGATTTCTATTAGCTCTCATAGGGTGAAAAGTCTGAGTACTTCTTTGTAACCTTTCATAATTTTATGTAACACATGCTCAATTCCACAGGGAACTTCTATTCCACTACATAGAGAAGTTGATACAGTAGAAAAAACTGAGGGGTGAAGATCACACATTGCACATGTTGAGATTCTGATTTACCAGTATCATGAAATTTTCAAATTTTTACTATCTTGTAGCATTTTAGAACTATTGGGATTTCCTCAAGACTTTTGGGTGCTCAGTATTTGTTCAGCAGATTGTGACCAAACCATTCCAGGATCAAATTTAAAGGACAAAAAAAAAAAAAAAAAAAAAAAAAGGGAAAAAGAGAGAAGGTAAGAAAGAAAGATCGAAATTCTATGTGTTTAAAATGTGAGTCCAGTTTGCAGGTCAGAATGTATATTCAGACAACCCAAACAATCCAAGGAAATTTGAAATGGCACAACTATCAGTACATCCACTAGGTGTCACAAAATAATCACACAGACGAGAAACAATTATATGTACTACATGCACATCATGTACTACATGAATTAAGTGGTGCTTTGAAATGAAATCTGTTATGAGCACAAATGCAGGAAAATATTATGAAACTCATGAATATACATACTGTCAGCAGTGTATGGGAATATCAGACACGACACTCAAAAGCTGTTGCAAACTGGGGTGTATGTCACGTAACAGATTCACATACAAATGTGTAAATGCCCGATTAAATAAAACCTTCATGAATCATAAAATTGATATTACCAGTTCTCTGAATCACAACTCTTAGGCTACTTGCTTTTTTATGTTCCAACTACTTAATTTTCTATGTTTGTATTTTGTTAGATTTTCTAAAAGAATGTGAGATTCCTTCCTGACTACGAGGAAAATGCTGCAAAGAAAACAAGTTCTGAAGAGTTGGGGAATAAGAAACAAAAAATACTTAATTAATATTGCTGTGAAA